CATTGTAGCGTGAGTGACGACGAGTCCTCAAATGAGCAAAAAAGCAAATATAACCTACTTCACATGTAAATAACTCGACGAATATAGCTCATAGTGATCTCTACGATCGTCATTATGTAGAGATCATGCTTGAAAACATGTGAACTTGCAATGTTAGTCTCAGGCTAATCGGTTTACTTTAGCTCGTGTTGTGTGACTTTGAAAGTGGCTTTCTTAAATACTTCGAAGTATAACATCCATGGCTTGTTTGCTATACTTGCTTCCAAATACAACGTCACATATGGTGCACGTCATCTATAAACTACCAACTTTTCACAAAATTTTCTGGCGGCTATTTCGTCTTCATTTCACAAAATTTATACAAATAGAGACGTGGAATCGACAGATCTCAATGTGGTGAAGAATTTCTACGTCTCAGATTCAAAATTGGTGATAAATTGGCGACGAAATAGATCATTAACCTAGTGGTGTTTTACATATGCGGGTGAAAATTTGGCCATAGGGGTGGCCGCTGAAATGCATCTTGACGTTTGTATGTGACTGGTATCCGTAGGTAGTATCCGGAATGTTTCCGCAGCTTTAACCTACCTCCTGAGGAATAAAACGCATGAAATCAGGGTTTAACGTATGAACGATTAAGGTTTAGCTACAATTTTAATACGTTAAACAATAAAATCTGCAGTCGTGGATTTGGCCAGTTGGAAGGTTTTAGTTGACGTGCACCATACATAACATAGTTATGGCGTGATATTTAAAAAACTTATTTTCACGCCTTGATAAAAATAGTGAAACGGGTTTCTTGTTTGGAAGGACAGTGCGCACCCATCAAGCAAGATACAAAAAAGTTGCGAAGCACAATCGTATGTATGCATGTAGTCTTGTCCCTGATAAGAGCCAATCGAGTGAATAATTCTTTCTGTAAAACAGTTCCACTATTGTTTTGACCCGGAATACTGTTTCGTGGTTAGCTATTGCTAACTACTGAGATGGACAAAGTTTCACAGTATAATGCAGCGTTTTCTGAGAAAAACAACAGTGGAACTGTATTACACTGTTAATGTGGGAATTCTACCAATCGAGTTTTGTCCCAGTAATTAATTGTATACGTATAATACCTCCCTATCATAATCGAGCAATAGAAATATTTTGTCTGTTCTGGTCCATTTATTGTTTTTCTTTGGGTTGGCAGAGTGACTTGCACTTGGGGTTTGTATCCTTGCTTTCCTCGGTTTCATCGACACTTTCTAAGACGCAATTTCCCAGCTGCTAGCCCCTTTAACATTGTTCAGCCAACGTTACGATGTTGGTCACCAACGAGAAGTGTATGTGTTCAGCTGCCAGGAGACCAGTTGCATGGACAAGGTGTAGAGTCCCTGCCAATTGCGAAACACACTCCGGGAGCCACCATTCTCGGTTTCGCATCGTCCTCCCATCAGTAACTCAACCATGCACTACGGAGGCGAAATGTCCATGCACACGGTTGCCGTGTACGCCCCAGAAAGTGTCAAGCACCTCCATCAGAAATCATCTGCCAACAGCAACACGACCAATCCCATGAAAATAGGTCGGCGACAACGTACTACCACGAACGAGTCGCACGCGTCCAGCGCCACCAGCAACGCCACCAATCCCATGAAAATAGGTCGGCGACAACGTATCACCTCGAACGAGTCGGACTCGTCCAGCGCCACTCAGTCGTCTCGCGATTGTGTCCAAGGCATGTATGACTACAGACCCGAGTATCATTTCAACCTGAGCGCAATGCTCCTCACACTGACCGTCAGCGTGGGCAATGGAAACGATCCCCAGCCAACTTCGCTGGCCCCGTCGTTGTCCATGGGGCCGCCAATATTGAGTTTCCACGGCGGCCGAAAAGTACGGCACACAGACCAACAGCACAAGGGTCACGAAGGACCTGGCGGGAAACGAGATAAGAAGTTCACCGATATATTTCGAGCGGACATGGCCCTGCGGATGTAATTGCTTGATGTCTTTTTCTAAATCGTGAAAAAAAGAGGTAAATCGATTTTGATTGGCTTATGCTATTTCTGATAATTCCTTGGAACTTCCCCTAAACTTGCTTGGAAAGTCGGATGTACTCAGTTACAGGATATCTTGATAATTCGATTACGAAGAGAAAGCTCTGTGTTCGGTTGTTAACTGTAAGAATCTCCACAAAATGTGAAAAGCCTTTCAGCGAGTGGAGATATGCGAATTATGACTACTCCGAAAAAGGGATCATAAATTGCTCATTTACGTTACCGCAGCTTGCGTCGGGGGCATTCATGCGTGCACTCTTCCCCGCTTAATGAATGGCAAATTCTGGCTGGACCACAAGGGAGTCATCATCATTGAACACGGCCGACTCGAGTGCCTTCGCATTGTTCGGTTCGTCTTGTTCTTGATTTGGTTCGTTGATCGTCGCATTCTTGCCCAGGTCTGTCGCTGTAGTATCATTGGCTTGATGGGTGCTCTGTGGAACGTACGACCGTAGCCACTCGGGCACAGCCGAGTTCTGGGCGTCGTAATGCTCTCTAATCCACACCAACTGTGGTTCTGCCGCGAACTTTGCATCCACCAGAGCCTCCACAATGTCCAGACGCTGAGTTTCAAGCAAGAGTTGCAGCGGCGACTCGTTGTTGGGGGTGACAGCCGCCAACGCGCCTTTGGACGCCAGGAAGACCACCATATCTTTCAACCCCAGTGCACAAGCCACATGGAGTGGTGTGTACCCATCCCGGGATCGTTTGATTTTGAGAGCTGCAGCGTCTGCATCCAAGAGAAGCTTAGCGACTGCCACGTCATTGTTAGTCACGGCAAAGTGCAGCGCCGTGCCATGCACAGAGGGCGCTAACTCAACACGGACGTTGGCTTGCCGCGGGGCCAGGCGGGGGGCAAGGTACTCAATGACATCTACGCTTCGCTGGGCTGCACAGGCCAAGGCCAAGAGTGGGATGTCGCTTCCGTCTGGGGCGAGGTCGGCGCCTGCGTGCAGCAGCTGCCACGTGGCGTTGTCGCTGTGCTGGACTGCGTAGTGTAGTGGGGACATGGCGAATTCGCCTACAAGGACTAGGGGCTCTTGCGAAGGTACTAGGGCAGTCCGGGGCACGAGACTCACGTGGCGCCCAGTCGTCGTCACGAGGTGGTACCCTTGCAAGTTGCAGTAGCTTGAAATGTACGCCTGAATCGGCGGGGTATCAGAGTCCTCGATGTAACCAACCGTGGTCTGAGGTTTGAGCATCTGAGGCACGTCAATATCCTTGGGCTCATGCACTGCGTTGAGGGGCACTTGGGATTCCACGAGGAAGCCAATCACGGGGCCGTTCGACCCTGCCACGTCGTATTTGGCTGCAAAGTGCAGCGCATTCAAGTGGTGGCTGGTCGTGGGTTGAGCAACGTTGAGACCATACTTAGTCACGAGATGCTTTAGAACTTCCGCACGAGTGGTGGTAGTGTCTAAGCAGGACGGTCAATGTTCGACTATAAATGAGATAGGGACTTCAACTCACGCGAATTCGACTCAAATGTCATGTCCAGCTCCGGTTCGCGAACGCCACATGCGTAATGAAACGGAAACAGCCCCGATTTGGACGAATGGATTAGCAGGTCGGATTTCGACGAGGGGGAAGTGGTCAGCGCCCGAGGGGCCACTAGCGCTTCCAGTCCGTCGTCCAGGATTGCGTCCAACTCGACCAACGTCTTCTCCGCCTCGGATTTACCCTTGCGAAGGTCCACGAATGATGCAGGAGTCACTTCAAACTTGGTGGACAAGGTCAATATCGTGTCCAGCACTTGGATGGTGTCTGGTCCACACGCGCCCGCACACAAGTAGTGCAACGGCAAACAGCCCAGTCTACGTATGAAGGTCATTCAAGCAGTTCCGCCTCATCATGTCGACAGCCACAAACGTGTACCCGTCAGTCATGAAAGGATGCGCTCCGTGCTGCAACAGTAACAACGCCGCTTCTCCATGGCCGTTCAAAATCGCCACATGCAGTGGAGTTTGCCCCCGTTTGTTGCACACATTCACATGCGCGTGGTGGGCCAGCAGCAGCGCTGTCAGGTGCAAGACAGCGGCGGCATCGACTTGTGTGGACTCGAAGCGGAGACAGACGCGGCATCCGCGTATTTGGGTCCGGATGCGGGCGGACGAGAGGACCCAGTGCAGCGGAAACGACCCGTCGTCGTCGCTGATGTTTGGGTCGCTGCCTTTCTCCAAGAACACTTGCAAATAGGCGGCGGGAGCAGCGGCGTTGGTCACTACGATCGAGTCCAACACAATCGAAGCTTCCAGAGCACTGACTTGTAGGCATTGAGGGCTGGTGATGGCGCCAGTGGGCATGCACGACTCTGCTTGTCGGAGCGTGTTCATGGCGGTTTCGATAGCGGGTGACTGCAACTGGGGGGCGGACACGAGGCAGAACTTGAGCACGGACTGGTCGCGGTTGTTGAGAGTGTTAACGTTCGCTCCACCAGCCAAGAGATCGTCCACAATGCCATAATGGCCCGCGGCGAGGGCTTTCATCAGCGCCGAGTTGTTCCCCTGATCCGCCACTTCGGCGCGAACGCCGGCTTGCAACAATAACTTGGTCAGGTTGTGATGACACAGCTCGACGGCCACCAACAACGCCGACACGCCAACCAGGCTAAATCGGGCATAGTCATGAGACGCTGCCAGCATTGATGTCCATCTACGAGGTCACAATTCAACATGATATGGCCGTGCAAACTGGTCGAACATTGTTCAGAATGTAGGAATACCGTGACGCGATGGTCTTAGTGCGTGCAATGGCTTGCTTTGCATCGTCGGACGAGTCTTCTTCTTCTGCAATATACGCTTCGAGTTTGGCTAACACGGAACCTTGAGCGTGGGTGCCCCATTGAATCAAGTGGTGGAGGAGATTCTCCAGCAATTGCACCAGTGCTTGGTCGTGATCGGGGCACGAAGGCACATCATGCAGCCGAGGCAAGTCAAGGAGGGATGCCAGAACCACAAGTCCGCCCTGGCCCACGGCCACATTAGTAAACAAATCCAAGTCGTACTCATCTTGGGGGCATTTTTCATCAACGAGCAGCCCTTGCAACACCTTTAAGGCTGCGAAAATGTCTGGAATAGGTGAATCGCTGCGATGAAATACATGCAAAACGGGTTCTAGAATCCGAGCGTATGCTTGCAATGGCTCAGTCCATGGCTGTGCAAACGGCGCAGCTCCCGCGGTGAGTCCGTCGGGTGGGTTGATTCGCAGCGCGTCGACCGCGCCCGCGACATCTGAAGGCGGTGGTTCGCGTTCTAGAACAAGTTGCTCTTGCGCTTGGCGAAGCAGTGCCTTGCGTCCGTTGGGCAAGTACGGCATGGATTGTAGAATGTTGAGCACCTCCACGTGCAGGTCAAAGTCGTGCAACGTGGCCAAGAGCTGCAGCAACTGCAAACTGAACGCCGCCACGCGCGTCGCCACCTTTTCACCGGGAAGCAAACTCGCGTCCTTTTGCTTCTTTTCTTTGGCTAATGGCGGTGCTTTTCCTTTGTCTTGTGCCTCTACGTTGGCATATACATGTCAACATTGGTATTTAGTCAGCTATACCTTCAGCCTTGGAAGGGACGTTCGCAAACTCCAGCACACCACGGGCAAACGCAGCTAGGGCCTGGGCGCACAACACTTGCGGTTTGATTGTCCGAGGGGGGACAGTCAGGTCCACGATGGAAGAGTCGGCCACCCCCCATGTATAATTGAGGGGACTCAACACCTCCACCGCGTCGTCACCGGCATGCTGCAGCACGAAACTCGCGAATGCGTTCACGGGACTCAGTGCATCGTCCCCACACAACTAGGAATTCTGTCGGTCATGCTGGAACGTGCCAACAAAGTACCTCGCAGACATCGACGCTCGTGGCTGCCAAGTACACAAGACACTGCGCGATATCAGCCACCAACGCGGTTCGCTTGGTGGGATCGTCGTCAATTCTGTCAAGAGTCTTGGCTTGTTCCGCTAAGATGGTGAGGAGACTGGTCGTCCCAGCAACACCCATGCGAAGTCCGTTTTCATTGTGTCGTAACACCATGGCGGCAAATCGAACTACATCAAGAAAAGAGCCGTCAATCCAAAGGCGGAAGGTGTCAAATGGCCAACCTCCGCGGAGCACTGTAGTGGGATCGGGCGCCGAAAACACTACGTGGAAGCCTTCGTAGACTAACCACGGTTCTAGACAACATCAGATGACAATCGCACGACCAATATAGCATCGCATGGGCCTGATTCATACCACCACCACTCGCTACTTTCCCAAACACTCGGCCATCGACACCACCGTCCACCGTGGCACACACATGCAACATCTTTTCGGCCGCGTTTCGAACGTTCAAGAGAGTGGTCTTGGCAGCCTCGGCCTTTACGACGGCTTGGACGTCCACGATCGCTGCGTCGGAATCTAACCCGGGGATCGCCGCGGCCAAAGTGACGGCGGGCGGGGCAGTCTCCTTGTCTTTCTTGGGGGAGTCTTTCACTGGCTTGCCCCCCTTGCCAGGCTTGGCTTTGGTGTCGACTGGCTCTTGCTGATCGGATGCATCCCCTGCAGGAGCACTGCTTGTTTCGTCGAGCATGAGGTAATGTACCAGATTTGGCAGGAATGACAGCTCCTTGACACGAGTGCGGCAGTCCTCATGGCGTTCCAGGAGACGCCCCAACGACGACAGCAACACCAACGCCGAGGAGGCACGAATTTTCCCTTTTAAAAGGGGCGATGACAAGGCTGTAGCCAATTGACTAGCCACTTGAAGTCGCAAGTCAGCGCTTTCGTCAGAGTTGGTTGCAGTCACCAACAGGCGCGTCAGCGTCAGAGCAGTAAGTTCCAAGCCTTGGCAAATGATGTCCCCCGTCGCAGCCTCATTGCCACCATCCACGTTGAGCGCACTCGTGAGCACTTGCAATTTCGTGGTCAAGTCCACCAATGCATTCGTTTGCGCAAAACTCAAACGACCGGATTCTAACTCAAGATTTTGACACGTCAGTGGTCATAGGGGTGCTGTACCATATCGTGTGTTGTGTTCGATGTACTTTGACGCCAAGAGGCTGAGCCGCGAGTCGTCGTGCAAGAGGTACGAAAGTATCGTGTGGGTGGCGTTCGAGACGTGCAAGCTTTGAATCAACTCGTTCGTGTCGGGATGGCCACACGCCAACGTATACAGCGCCTTCAGCGAGGCAAACTGCAGCTCCACGTTGGACAATCGAATGGCAAGGGTGAGCTGACTCACGGGATCCCCTCGCGTGCACACGTTCGTCACAAGCTCACTTCGGTTGGGATAGTCTGGGGGCAAGGCCAAGGCAAACTCGACCAGTTTCGTGAAGATGCGCAATGCTGTCAACTGCAGCATCGTTAGTGTTGCAATATTAGCTGGAGGACCGATACATATGCGCCCTGTACCTTCAAGTCGTCGTCGACGACCATGCCCCCCACCGCAAGAAAATATTCACCCCCGACCCACAGGGTCTCCGACGACCGTCCTTCGTCGAGAATGTACACGGCTAAAGATACCAACATGTCAATAAAGTGTGCATCTTTTCTGGGCTTACCGTTCAATGCACACGGCTGGTTTGGTTCAGAGACCAACCGCGAAAACATTGCCAACGCCTGGGACAAGATCTCGTGTTGCTATTCATCCATTGTGAGTGCTGTTAAACCATTCATAGATTGTAGTTGTACCTTGGCACGGGTAAGAAAGGCCATGAGGAGGGCCAATCCCCCGCCTTCTCGAAAAAAGCGACTGTCCTCGGCACAGTATCGAATTCCCTCGACTTTTTTGCCCACATCTTTGAGTTTGAGTTGTTTCAGCGCTCGTTTCCAAGCAGCCTTAGTGGCCTTTGATAGCGGCAACACTTCTGACGCGGCGACCACCCCGATGTCGGCCGCGCTCATGTGGTGCTGTGCTGGCAGTTTCAAAAGTGAAACGGCGCCAAATTGACCATGAAACCGCGCGAATCGGAGGGGGTGGTGGTTGTGGTATTCATATGTTGCCCCCCCAATCGAGTCCACCCCAGAAATATGTGCTCGACGAAAGCAGCTTGGAGCTGGACATGACTCGACTGCAAATGGAATCGGTGGACCGCCAGTTTGGCATTGAGAGCAGCTACTTGATGCAAACTTATTACACACACGACGAAGACGACGCAATCTTGTTGGATTTGACACATGTAGGTTTGCACTATCGACGCAGTTGTTATTGATATTTGTGTAGTCGCTGTGTAGACCACGGCAGCAACGAGGAATCCACTCAAATCTGGACGCAAGAGAGGTACCATCCTCTGCGCAAGGGAAGAGTGACGACATCAGGCAGGCGGCCGTTCCCACCAGACCCTCAGAAAGAACTCCATCGCAGCAAGTTCAACTCCCTCGCTACATCGTCCGTCACTCTGAACTTGCTTCAAAACAACTAGTGACCCTCCCCGACGTCGATATGCGAGTGGAATCTACGCCTCCCCAACAAGTCATCAAACAGCGTCAAAACAACTGTCCCCGGCGACCAGCGAATGTCAAGCCGCCAATAAACAACAGCAGCATGAGGAGCTTCAGGGATCGACCTTGTTCACCGTCATCTGAGCACTGGACGTCGTCGCAGAAAATCTCCACGCGGTCCATCAAACGCAGGCCACGGCCACCCACCACCAGTTCCAAGTCACACGTCCCAGCTCCCCCCTCCCTCTTGCAATTCCCCCCGCCCAGAGACGTCGCAAACAACCAAGCAAATGAAATGATTGCACCACAACCCAAGGTTATATCTCCCGAGGCGACGACAATTACTCAAACCATTGACGCGACGTCACTCCCTTTGGTCGAAAGTCCCTCGATAGGAGATGTGTGTCCTGAAGTCGACCCACCTAGTATCTCACAACTGCAAACACATTCGAGCGTGGAGCCGAAAGTATTCGAAGTTAGCACCCCTAAACGCCCAACTCCACGTATTCTTGTGGCCCAGCCCACCCCCACAATCGCCCCCGCAATCATTGGCGTCATCGTCTCCGAGTTCACCAAATGCAGCGACAAACTGTCCAAGAAATTGAAATGCAAGGATGCGTTTGTACGAAAACTCGAAGCCGAACGAGCACCATTGCCGAAGAAGCCTCCAGACAACTTCAACTATGCGACGTCTAAACCTCCAAGTGTGCGGCGCCCGTTCATACGAAGCCATACTCCGTCCTATGGGGCGTCAACGGCCCTTTCGACAATTCGGCAAAAACAAATCTTTGACGAGTTTATCTTGCGAAGGAAGGGGGTGCAACAGATTAGTAACATGTAAGGATGACACTAAGGAGTGGTTTCAGCTATAAATAATATAACCACCATCGCGCAACCACACCACCTGCAACGGCGGCGACAGGTCACGGAGGCCATGCAGCCACTCTTGTCGGCCCAAGGTGAACGCGCAACGTTGCAACTTCACGAAATGTCCACGCCCAATGCCAGCAAATCGAAAGGCCAAGCTTATACTCGTCAAGTGCACACAAAACCATCGCACTTGGCTAGTCCGCAGCCCATCCTTGTGGCGTCAACAATGTACAAAATGGAAGCCCCTCCATCGTTCCTCAAACACACCAACCAAACCCCCGGGCACATAGACACTCCAGCTCACACCGCATCGCATCCGCTTCCAAAGGAGGAATATTCACACAAATACCACGCTGGGCCTGCGGGGGATGCGCCGTCGCCGTTCTCGTTTGTGGGGGCCACCCTCCCCATAGTCAACCGTGTCGACTGTGCTGGAGACGGTAAAGGGTGTTCCAAAGGGGGCGCCCGAAAGGCAACTCCCAGGAATGCTGCCACTTCTGGGAACGTAGCCCACTTTCGCCTCACCGACCAACCCCGGACACCGGCAACGGTAGCCATTCTGCATATGACCAAACCCAGTATCCTTAACGCCCCCACCACCGTGCATCGACCGACTCGAAAGGGCCGGGGAGACGATGCCAATCAGTTCAACAGTATTGTGCAAGGTGGAAGGCCGCCATCCCGAGCCATTCCAAGTCAAAGTACTTCAATCCCTTTATCTCCCACTGGGCATAAGACCCCCACCAGAACAACGCGTGGACTTGAACCAAGCAACCAAGACGATACCGCATTTTCAGCGACGATGCAGCGCAAATCCAGCATGAGCGACATTGAAATCGTAGACTTGGGCGATTTTTCGTCCAAGGTGGTTTTTCGAACGAAGCAGGGCGACAGTGGCGGGGGCTGGCGGGGGGACATCGAAGTGGCCGCCTTTCAAGCAGACTTTGGGTCGTGGGCTGACATGGACGATAGCAGGGTAGAATACTAGCCAACATAATAATACTTGGTGCTAAACAAGCTAAACAACGTGGTTACTGTACTACTCTGCCCCATCGGGCAATGCTGCAAAACAGTTATTTTGTGCTATATTAAGGTGTGTTAAGAATTTGGAAATGGTCGATGCCGTCCTCGCACGGCTTGCGCAGAACAGTATGTACATTCGAGACGACTTGACTGACAACAAGCACCAGCTGGATGCAGACAGTGTTATCGACCCCACGGACCGCAGCTTTGGCATCGAAAGCAGCAACTTGCTTCAGGAATACTACCCCAAAACACCACTCATGGACACTCCTCACAAGCCTACCCATGGCTTTTTCGTCCTACCGGGCGACGTCGGTGAGACGAGGCAGACGACTGCTCCTCGGAGTGTGCAGCCCCCCCGTGCACGTGCAAAGAGTGCTCATCCAAACAATCGGCACCAGGTACATTACACTTTCCAACAGTGCTTCAGTTTTGACGTTTCTCCAGGTCCATGACATTGCCGTGCATTTGCTCGTGCCGTTCGAAACGACATTGGATGTCTCAATCAACTCTAGCAACAACGCACCCCCGTTCTCACCAACCCCTCCGGCCCCTCGAAGGGCAGGGGAGCTGGCGCCCCCCGAGGGCAAACCAAAGAAACCCCCTGTTCTAGAGCCAGCCATGATCCCCACTCCACGGCCGCCCCTAAAGAAGCAACCGCGACCTAGCACAGGGGGGCCAACACGGCGAATAACCAAACTTCCGGACGACGTGTTTTGGTCGTCGTCGAAAAGGATCAATACCCTGGACAATCGCCGACCCCGTGCGGCCCCGCGACCGTCTCTGAAACCCCCAAACACCAAGAAATGCACGAGGCAAACATTGTTTGTGGACCTGGTGCAACAAGTGCGCACCGACATGGTCGTGGAAATTGGCGAGAACCACACCTCGATGAGAACGCAAGCGGACTTAGCACCGCCCAGCAGGCACATGGCACCACCTCCAAGAACTACTCTGGAGGCTCCTCCGGCGGTAGTGCCGCAGATTCTACCAAAAAATCCAATGCTTCGACCAGCCAGTGCCGACGCCACACGATTGAACCAAACCCGTTCGACGAAAATGCTCACAAAACGTCGACGAGAACTGCACGAGTGTATCCTTAGCCACCGTTCAACGGCGCCAAAACCTCACGACCTGCCAGTGAAAAACCTCCTGCTCAAAATGTACTGCGTGCTCGATGAATACCGTGGTCACGAAGGCCAGTTTGTGAAGCGGCTCAAGCAAAAGCCCGAGATTCCCATGCAGAAAAAGCCAACGCACAAGCCAAGCAGGCGCAACACCGAAGCTGCCGCGGTGACGCCACGTATTTATTCGTCCAACCAAGAATGCTCCAAGTGACCAAGAAGGCCGTGCATCGGCATCGCGTTCTGGGTTACACCTGTGTACTGTACAGTAGTTGAAGTGGATGGCCTGGTTGTCCGGATAAAAAATTGGCGGAAGCAATCGGGATATCAATGCACAACTTGAACTATGTAACGTTGTCGTTGACATGCATTAAATTCAAACCGAATCCGGATAATGTCGCTTGAACCACTGGCACAAAGGCAAAGCGCACGACAATCTCCACCGCCGGCGTCCTCTACCTCATCGCCATGTATGGGACCTGGGGCAACAAGAAGAAGGCATTGGACAGCACGGCACCCTTCCGCTACTCCGTTGTGAAGGGAGACACGCTGAGTAGCATCGCAATCAAGACCAAGCAGGCCGAGGACAAGATCCGAGAGATGAACCCCATGGTGTTTTGCAGCAAGAACGCCACCGTGTACCCCGGCCAAGAGCTGATCGTGGACGAATCGCTGGCCGTATCGTTGCCGCCCCCGCCTGAACTCATCGACCATGGGTGGGGTCAAATGCACGTGGTACGGTCAGGCGACACGGTCAAGACCATTGCCGTCGAATACAACACAACCGAAGAGTTCATTCGCAGCGACAACCGACAGTACTTCCCGCAGGGCGAGCGAGGCATCCTTTTTCCAGGACAGATGCTGCACATCCGCGTCGTCAACACCCAACAATCCGACGAACTCGTCCTCCGACCCGGCGATGTGGTCCATGTGGTGACCTCCAACGACACGTTCGAGTCCATCGCAGCGACGTACCACACGACCCGCGCGCGCATCTTGCTCAAGAACAAGTCGGCGTTTCCCATCGGCCACAAGCCTCGTCTGACGGCGGGGACGACGCTGATCGTGGGTCACAACGCTGAGATCGCCGACCGCATCAAGCACGTGGGCGAAGTGAAACTCACCAAGCAGATCCACGAAGTCGAGTATGGCGAAACCCCAGAAAGCATTTGCGAGCTGTACGGCATGACCATGGACGAAATGCGCGACTTCAATCGCGCGTACTTCCCCAAGGGATACCGAGGGGACATCCGCCCGTCGTTCAAGCTCGTGGTGAAGCGCCAGGACTCGAATGCGATTGACAACCAAGTGGAGCATGTAGACGTGGCACCATCCAACGAAGCAGCTTCGTCGTCGACGAAGAAGACGAAGAAGAAGCGGTCGAGTAAGACCCACCGAGACAACCAAGTCGACGCCGACAACAGCGAGTAATAACATTATATCATCATCATCCCCCATCCACACATCATCTCGTGTTCTCAATAACGGCGGCATCATGGAAGGATGGATGGTTGTTATGGGCTCGTGGCAGCGGCATGGACGTGGCCAGAGTCGAGCTGCTGCAGGAGATGGCTCACTTGCTTCATGTGATGGCGTTTTGTCTGCCTCTCTTTCTCCATCTGCACATCATGTGGGTCAGATGTATGTACCATTCTCTTCTCCAACAGCACTAGTAGCAAATGGGTGCCTCTACCTGTTGCAACAGCACTTTCATTTCATTTTCAGTCGTGTGGACTCGGAGCTGGTGGTCGCGGACACTTCGCTGCAGCTGCCGATTCTGTTCGAGCAGCGACCGCCCCCGGCCTTCCATGGCGCTGCATTTGGCTTCCCACTGACTCACGTCATGACGAAGTTGCTGGATCGACGCTTGCAACGACTTGATGGCACTGTCATGCTACAACCCCGTGAATACACCCAACTAACCCCGTCAATCACCTCATCTTGCATGGCTTGGACGCGGGCCTGGCTCAGCTCTTCCTGCTTGGCGATGGTCTTCCGCATGCGCAGCATCTCCTTGTCGATGTACTCGAGGGCGCGCACTTTGGCCTCGAGCTCGTCCTGCAGGCCGTCCCACTGGTCTAGCTTGTCCACGTTTGCTTCCACTCGACGCACGTCCCGCTCCATGTCGTGCTGTCTGGCTAGACTTTCATCCAACGCGAGCTCGACATCTCGAAGTTGTTCGCGCAAGTCGGCCTCGTTGTGGCGGTGGTCGTCGCCTTCCCGGCGAAGCGCCATGATCTGCTGCGCTTGGTCGTCCAGCATGATGTTTTTCACTTGTAACGTCGCGGTGACGTCGGCCAGCTGCCGCTCCAGCGCTTCCACAGCCTTGGCCGCTTCGCTGGCGTTGGCCACCTCGTCTTCCAAGGCGGCCGCGTGGGTTTTCTCAGCTTCGAGCGCCGCTTCCAGCTCTTCGATCGTGGCCTGATACTCTTGAATGCTGCGGTGGCACGACTCTTGAAGGTGAACGAGGCGCTTGTCCACTCCTTGCAGCTAGCCAGCAAATCAACATGGCATTGAGGTAGACATGTTAGGTGTACCTGGGACAAGAGTTCCTGGACGCGAGCGTTCAAGGCTGCTTCGGCCTGAAGCCCTGCTCGGTATTTCCCTTCCCACTGTTTGGCTTCCGCTGCTGCTCCCTATCATGAACACCATCGACATACTCATACAAGCTACACAACACGCAGCGGTAGTTAGTACTCACGTGAAACGCCTGCGTGAGTTGCTTGAGCTTCAAGATCGACTCGGATTGCTTGTGGCGAAACTCCATCTCCACTTCGTGCAGTGTCAGTTTGAACTGCCGCTGCACCAGCTCTTCCTGCGCCTTGTACGCTTTTTCCCGCCGTCCCAGCTCTTCCTTGTGCTGATATGCGACACTGTCCAAGGCCGACCCTTTCAAGAACGCATCGTGTCGCAGCGTCGACACCTACAACACGATCGATACATCACGAATCAATATTGATAGCCACGGGGTGTCTGTCGTACCTACCTCCTTTTCTTTGGCCGCGTACTTTGCATATGCATCCTCGAGGGTATACTTGAGCTCCTACCGACAGCATCCATCTAATTATTTATTGAAATTATAATTATTAGAAGTTATTTTTTAATTCATCTCTTTTTTTTCAATTTTTTAAAAATAATAATCTTTGTTTCATCTTTTTTTAGCATTTTGCATCCTTGTATTTAAAATATTTTAAAAGATTCCTCAATTAATTATAATTCTATAAAGGTATTATTTTAGGCTTTATAGTACTACAGTATATTGATGGAAAAGGTAAAATTAACAAATCGAAAACATATAGAGTCGAAATCAACGGGATTGTACACACGAATGTCTGACTTACTTGCATGTCCGCTTTGATTTGTCGAATCTGGGATGCACTCTACAACCAGATAGATACACACAAAGCTTCGATGAAGAACAAGATCGCCACAACCAAATGGAAACCTCGTCGTGCTTGGCTTGTGCCGTCGCCGCCGCCTCTCGAGCTCGGACTTCGGCCTCGTGCTCGACCTCCATCAACGCCCGTTTGCACTCGTTCTACATGTCATGAAGTCAGTCATACATACCCCTTCCCCCATTCCCCCTCATCGACTTGATAACGGGAGAGATACATACCTTGCACTTGTCGTCCTTGAGCTTCATTTGCATCTGCAACGACTCCACTCGACGCTCGCTCTCGTCCAGCAACGCCTTGGTTTGATCGCATTCGTTCATTTGCACTGTGAGCTTGTCGCGGTCCGCTGCCGCCTGCTGCTTGAGCGTCGCCACCGTGTGACGGACTTGGGCCAGTTCCTTGGACAGACTGTCGTGGTCCATCGAAGTGTTGGCTTTGTCCACCGTGAGCTCCACCGCCTTGGACTCTGCGCGCTTGGCCCGATCTATGGCCGCTTTGAGCTCCCTCCGGAGAACCCTTTCTGTCTCATCGTCACATTGCACCCCTCTGGTCAACGTCGTGATAACGTCACACTGGCTCGATGTGTCTGTTGTCATGGTGACGTGTTCGACGTGACACGTCTCAGCTGGGGCGGCCAACACTGATGGATCCGTCTCAAGGATCACGTCACCGTCATCAGAGTCGCGCTCGTGTGGTGGCGGCGTGTGCACGTGATACCCCCGTCTCTGTTTGGTTTCAACAAAGACGGACATGGGCGGCGGCGGCACCCTCGTCTCCAACGTCTGCTTGTGCATGCTTCGAAGGCTGGACGTGGCTTGATGGATCTGCGAGTCAATGTCGTCCATGAACGGTTCTTCGTGGGTCTGGTGCGCCTCTAGCAATCGCAACCGGGCGTCCAGCACGGTCCAGTCTGGCTCGATGCTCTACAGCCATTCATTATTCCTGTACACCCCCCTGTCACACGACCTGCCGTCGACGTGGGGTTGGGGGCGCCGACTCGAGAGTCGGTGGTTGGCGAAACGTCCGAGCCACGCTCGTGTACTTGGGCATCACCAGCGCCGCGAGTTCTTTCAACACACTGACGTGCTCGCCGTCCAGCGTTTCCAACGTGGACATTCGATCCAACAGCATCGATGGGTACCCCTCGGCGGCACACACGGGATTGGACTGGCTCTTTGAGATGGATTGGAGGCGCAGCGCGCGCATCGTCTACGGCAAACACACACTCATGCATGGGTGGAACGATGTCACATGGATGCGAGCGTACTTGCAAGTAAAACAGCGGCGATAGGGCGGACACGTCGGCGATTTGATTGTCCCGAAGGTCTAGGATTTCCAATGCTGGGAACTTCAGCGGGTCGAGAAGGCCGTCGAGGACCGTAAGACTACATCATTGTGACCCATATAAGTGGACAAAGGACGGTGTATGTACCTGTTGTACGCCAGGGAAAGTTCGCATAACGATGGCAAGACGGGAAAGCCAATGGTAGTTGTGATCCTACCAAGTCAAGGTTCAATGTCATGCGTGGTGAAGATGATGGTGGTCGTGAACGAGAGGTCTGGACCGATTGGCCGACAGGTTGAGCACGGTGAGATGCACGAGGCCACGCAATGCTGCAAATGAAGGGCACTATACAGCGACGATTGAGTCATGGGAGGTGGGCATGCACGTACATTGATCCAGTTGGACGATAATGATAGCTCCTTGAGGCTACGAAGAAGCAACACGTCCATGAGCACGTAATATGTCAAGAGATAAGGAACGGCTATTCGCTGACTTGGTGAATCGTTGTAAGCCATCCATGGATCGGATGCAGTTCCCGTGCAAGTTGAGCACTTCGACTGCTGCATCGTTGTCTGTCTACATATGCCGTGACGTATGATGGCGAGGATGGTTACGTACTGTACCGCAACGTCGGCAGCGATGGAGACGATGTTCCTATTCACATGGCTTTGACACGACATGAAGTTCAAAATGGATTATGTCCTCCCTCTATAATCCATTGATTTATGGATATCAAAATTGAGAGGTAATATGCGAACTGCAGATTTTTGCTCTCCACACAAAGGACACGGCAGCATCAACATGAGCGAATCGCTGTATGATGAGTTCGGCAACTACATTGGCCCTGATCTCGACGACGAAGATGACTCAGAAAGCGAGGAATCCGACAAGCAGGAAGATTCCGACAAGGACGAGGACTCGGACGATGACGGCGACAGGCCCCAATCGACGACCTACGAGGGCCAATCTTCAACAGCTCTGCAAACGTACCGTGAGGAAGACCATCGCATTGTGTTGCATGAAGACAAGCAGTACTACCCTGATGCAGAAGAAGTGTTTGGGGACGCAGAAGTGCTAGTGATGGAAGAAGATGCTCAGGCGATTGAAACACCACTGGTGGCCCCGGTCAAGGTCAAGGCGTTCTCGTCGCTGGAGAAAGAGACCGTGAAGACGACATACTCGAACGAGTTCCTGGCGTCGCTGATGGATTATCCGTCCATGGTGCGCAACGTGTGTGTGATTGGCAACTTGCATGCAGGCAAGACGGTGTTCCTCGACTTGTTGATTGAATCGACCCACGTCAACAAGTGGAAAGATCAACAGAAGGACTCGACCAAGCGCATGATGGCTGTGGATCTCGAGAGGCGATACACTGACACCCGCGCCGACGAGCAGGCTCGCAAGGTGAGCATCAAGTCGACACCCGTGTCACTTGTGCTGCCGTCGTCTCGAGGCAAGTCGTACGTGATGAACGTGCTCGACTGCCCCGGACACGTCAACTTTTCCGACGAAAGCACCGCCGCCATGCAAGTGTCCGACGGTGTCATCTTGATGGTGGATGTCGTGGAAGGGGTCATGATGCATGTACGTGTCGTGCTTGCTCCATATTGTTTCCATATCCCATGACGACGAACGTAGACGGAGAACCTGGTCAAAGCCGCGCTGCTAGCCAAGCTGCCGCTACTTCTGGTCGTGAACAAGGTGGACCGGCTGATCATCGAGCTCAAGCTACCGCCCCAGGACGCGTACTTTAAGCTCCTGCACACGATCGAGGAGGTGAACCGCCTCGTCGAAGTGCACACGCCGCTGGGCGACAAGTTCAAGCGCCTGTCGCCCGAGTTGGGCAACGTCTTGTTTGCGTCGGCGCAGCACGGGTGGTGCTTTTCATTGGAATCGTTTTCCCTGGTATTACTACTCCTACATATATACAAGGGTATCACTTATATCGATGGAATCTGATTTATGTGTCTGTAGCTGTACGCGCAACGCCAGCATGGCATCAACCCCGCCGAGCTGGCCAAACGGCTGTGGGGGGATGTGTACTACTCCCCTGGCACGCGCACGTTCAAGTCCAAAGTGGTTGGTGCCCCCCCTATCCCCCCTATCCCCCCTTCTCCCATCTTGTTGACCCGTCCATGTGATTTTGTAGCCATACGAAGGTGCCCATCGGTCGTTTGTCCAGTTTATTCTCGAACCTATCTACAAGATATATGCCCAAGTACGTCGTGGTCAATCCTCCTAATATATATATATGAAAGGGATGCTGTTAGGTGTTGGGCGAAGAAGTTCAAGTGCTGACCAAGACTCTGCGGGGGCTGGGGCTCCGAGTGAGCCGCGAAGACCTTCATTTGAATCCCCGACCGCTGCTCAAGCTAGTGCTGTCGCAGTTTGTCGGCCGGTCCGCGAGTTCGTTTGTGGATTTGGTGAGTAGATTCATTCCGTCGCCGTTGGAGACGGCGGAAGCCAAGGTCACGGCGCTGTACACGGAAAACGTCGACTCGAAAGTGGGAAAAGCCATGCTCGCGTGCGATCCCGCGGGGCCGCTCATGATCAACATCGTGAAACTGTACTCGTCGTCGGACGGCACGTCGTTCAGCGCGTTTGGCCGCGTGTACTCGGGGTCTGTTTCGAGTGGCCAGCGCGTCAAGGTGCTCGGAGAGAGCTACAGCCCCGACGACGACGAGGACATGGTGGTGCGCACGGTGGAGAGCGTGGGGATCAGCCAGGGTCGGTACAAAGTCGACGTGAACCGCATTGTCGCAGGCAACTGGGTCATGCTCGACGGCGTGGACGGAAGCATCACCAAGAGCGCGACCATCACGGACGCGTCGGAGGATCTGCTTGAGTCGGATCGCGTGGGCATCTTCCAGCCCATTTCCAAGCGTTTTGGCACGAGCGCCGTGGTCAAGCTGGCCGTGGAGCCGCTGAACCCGTCCGAGTTGCCCAAGATGCTCGAGGGACTGCGCAAGATCAGCAAAAGCTATCCGCTCGTAACGACCAAAGTCGAAGAGTCGGGGGAACACGTCATCTTGTGCACGGGCGAGCTGGCCGCAGACTGCATTTTGCACGATCTACGGAAAATGTACTCTGAAATCGAAGTCAAAGTGGCTGACCCTGTGGCCTGCTTCAGTGAAACAGTGGTCGAAACCTCGTCTGTCCAGTACGTACGCAACGGGGCCATCCATATGCGCTAGTTATATTTCTATGTGTATATGCTTGGGCTGCATCTACCTACTACTGGACTTATACAGTGCAATGTGCAGTTTGCACTAGTATGTTTTGAATGTACTAGTATCTATGAATATCATCTACATGTACTGGCTCGACCAATACGTGTGGTTGTGCTGCACCTACTGGACGATGCGTCTGCACCTACTGACAAGATCCGTGGGTGGGTTCGTGTAGGTGCTTTGCAGAAACCCCCAACCAAAAGAACAAGCTGACGATGATCGCCGAGCCACTGGACGTGGGATTGGCCAAAGACATTGAGTCGGGCGTGGTCAACTTGAACGTACGAAACGTTTGCTACACGTTTGAATCAAACTCCAGAGTGTGTGTGTGTGATGGGAATGGTGGTGTAGTGGGCCAAGAAAGACGTGGCCGAGTTCTTTCAAAACAAATACCAGTGGGATGTGCTGGCTGCGAGGTCAGTGTGGGCGTTCGGACCCGACAGCACCGGCCCTAACGTCTTGATCGATGACACGCTGCCGTCAGAAGTAAACAAGAAGGCGCTGCATAGCATCAAACACTCGATCGTCCAAGGTACTATCTATATATATTGTTGATTTGGTTTGAATTTCGGGACCCCGATATCGTTCGTTCACATCGAATCACGCCGACCAACCCGATCACGAACCATCGCTCCGATTGGTCAATATGAAAATGCGTGTCGCTGATTGGCTACATTGTTTTGCCTTTTTTGTGCATTCTGCGGAATCGGAAATGCCAATGAAACCTTTGGCGTGGCTGGTTTTTTACGAATCGCGCAGAATTTGGAAAATATGTAGCAAATTCATACTATATATATATATATGTATATATATGTATATACATCCTTGGATATGGACTTTGACGCTATTTTGCCTAGGGTTTCAATGGGGCTGTCGGGAAGGGCCGTTGTGCGACGAGCCCATTCGCAACACCAAGTTCAAGATCCTGCATGCGTCCATGGCGAATGAACCGATCCATCGCGCGGGCGGGCAGATCATCCCGACCTCGCGCCGCGTCGTGTACTCATCCTTCTTGACGGCCACCCCTCGTGTACGTACTGCACCCCCCCTTTCGTCCATGATGTTGTTGGACTCAATATCGGTGGCGGTGTGTAGCTGCTGGAGCCCATGTTTGCACTGGAAATCCAGTGCCCGGCCGACACCGTGTCGACACTGTACCAAGTACTGACGCGCCGACGGGGCCACATCACCCACGACGCCCCCAAGGCCGGGTCTCCCATGTACACGGTGCGCGGCTTCTTGCCCGTGATCGAATCGTTTGGGTTTGAAACCGACTTGCGCGTGTTCACGCAAGGCCACGCGTTCTGCACACAAGCGTTTGACCACTGGGCGTTGGTTCCCGGTACGATATGTGACGATTTAGATTTGTTTGATGATCGTTGTTGTGAAACAGGGGATCCATTGGACACGACCATCATCTTGAGGCCGCTGGAGCCGTCGCCCGTGCAGGCATTGGCCCGAGAGTTCATGGTCAAGACGCGCCGCCGCAAGGGACTGAGCGAAGAGGTGAACGTGTCCAAGTTCTTTGACGACCCCATGCTCCACGAACTCGCCAAACACGATATGAACGTGGAGAACCTCATGTAGTAGTAGTAGTTAGGACACCAAAACTAACTCTGTTTCTCATACTCTCTGGTGGGGTTAGTTGTTGCGTCGGCGTCTAGTGCATATGTACTGGTACTGTACGTGAATGAATGGACTGCATGTTCGGTCCAAGTACACTAGTGGGCGGCAGTGAGCAAAGTCTGATCGTTTCCAGCACATTTGGCCAAATAGGGCTAGTAAATTTATGCCTGCATCCAATCCCTTAGACGAGTGACCGTCGACGGCACTTGGCTGCCGTCTTAGCCGTTCCTTTCACACTATGTAGGTCATGTCATTCACCTAGTTGCGTCGACGACCAAGGAGGCACTGTGTTTAACTAACGTTACATAACGTTAACTGTACAGTAGCCCATCACGATTTTGTGTTTGTGTGACCTGTCGAGCCGTTACAGTGCGGACCGCAATGAAGGGATGTTTTGATTGGTTCAAACTAAAACTCCAGCGTTCCCATTGGTGGCGGATACGATTTCGAACAGTCGCCACAGCTCGTCCAAACCACCGTAAGAGTCGACATACCACAACGTGTTCGTCAACACGACACACATACGATGCTGGACTTTACACTGCCTCCATTGTCCAGCTACCTCCGAAACTCGACGGTGGCACCATCCGAGGGTTTGTCGGCGACCACCACGCCAAGGTTTGCGTACATTCCTTTGCTCTTGAATCCTGTGGAAGAGAAGCAGCTGCAGCACTATGACAACAACAATACGCGTGCTGCGTCACCACCCACGTTAATGGACACGTTGGCATTTGAACTGCCCCCGCACAAACGAAAGCGGTGTCAAGACGCCGACCCTGGCGCCCATGACCGCAGCCCTGCCAGCCAACCCATTTGCAACGTGCATGGGTGCAGCAAACTCGTGACGAGGGAAGGTGTATGTACGTCCCACGGAGGGCGGTACTTTTGCATTGTCGCAGGGTGCCCCAAGCAGCGACTGAAGAAAGGACTGTGCTTTGCCCACGGGGGGGTGTCGTATTGCAAGGTTCCCGGGTGCGATAAGACGCGACAGAAGCGCGGGTTGTGCAAAACCCACGGTGGCGTTGCGTACTGCAAAGTCGACGGGTGTACGAATGCCAGCAACTCCAAGGGATTGTGTCGGGACCACGGCGGTATCAAGTACTGCCGCACGGAAGGCTGTCAGAATCTAATGCTGCGAGAAGGACTGTGTCGGCTCCACGGGGGGTTTGAATACTGCAAGGCACCATATTGCAGCAGAATCGCCATCGAAGGAGGGCATTGCCGAACGCATACTATAAGCCCCAATTAATAGTTCGTACACAAGGATGAATGCATCTATAAGTCCAAATTAACAGTTCGTACACAATGATGAGAAAACGTCGAGTGTTTTTGATTAACAAGTGAACCGAATCTTCATTCACTTCATTGGAGTAGAATCCGTTCCAGGATGTGCGGCGGCGTGGTACCGTCGTCGTGATGCCATGGATTTTGTATGGCGTTCCAAGAATACTAGCCCTCAACGTCATCGCGTGGGTGGGCGTTGCGAAGGAACGAACTGTGATGAACAGGCGAATCGGTAGAGCCGTTGGCGTCGCACATGTGTACGTGACACTATAGAAGCAGTGGTCTTCTGCCTGGGAGATGACAAACACCAACGGGTGTCCTCATCGTTGGATTTGCTTTAACGCCGAACATGCCACAGCACAAAGTACCGCGAACTACGACCCTCGAGGAGGCGTGAAACAACGGTCGCACCATTCGCATGGAAGCACACCAAGAAGCGGTATGTCACGCAAATCAGCAGAATGGCCCGATGGGCCACGACCAATGGCCACATCCAAGGTGTGGAGGACGCCGCCAATTTGAACGTAGCAATTTTCTCGTACGACAATTCCAAGCACGTGTGTGCAGTAGTGCTTCCAAACGCAACGTCCGTCCGCATCCACATTGAGTTGGATGCACAGCGCCATGTTGTACCACTACGAAACCCCCGAGGCTTTTACCGATAGCTGCCAATCATCATGCACGATTACTCGCGCTCAATCGCGACGGTGCGAGCGTCTACATCGAAGCGCCCGTTGACGTTGGACGACCTGGACCTACTGACGAGGCGCAGCATGGCGCTGACAGACCGTGGGATCATCCATGTGCTTTCGCTCCTGATCTGGAAGCTGACGAGTCAGGTCTGAAGCACCGCATCGATTCGTGTCAGTGCTTCTCGCGGGAAGGGGAAAGCCTTAGCGTGGAGCTCCTCGACACGAACTCCCTGGAGGTCAAGCAGTGCTCACACGGCAGCCCGATCGAGCCGAACATGTGCGTGGTGCTTGCAATGGGCATGTACCTGGCGATGCGCCCCTTCCAGACACCCTACGGAGCCCTCTTCCTAGCCGATAAACCCATCGACAATTTTGCCGGGGCGTTTGCCAATTTGGTCAACGGGATGTTTGCATTGGACGGCACCCCCCACAACTTGGGGACGAAGTCGATGGAAATGGGTGCTATCGAAACATCGGTTTGGTATTATCCATGAGCGGCGTAAGCGATCAGGATGCCTGTGGCCTCTTGGCGAGCGTGCCAAATCAAGTGGTGATGCCATCCCACTTTACGACGCTGGATGATTAGGTGGTGACGGACGCCGTGCGGGTCATGTTTCCCACACTGAGTACCGCGGTATAACCTGCATACGACAAACTCCAAACGTTAGACGCCAAACTCCAAGTGATGGAAGGCGCGATTACACCGTGTGCATGTGGAAGTGTGAGGACGATGACCCCCATGGGGACGACCTCGATGGCGTCCGCGATATCCACGACAAGACAAGTTGCACCGACGCCAACGACCAAAGTCCACTGTGTGCTGCTACCAACACTACGACAATCAATGGGCACCAACTTTGCGACCAGGGCGGGCAAGTCCACAAGTTGCCGATGGATTTTGAATGCCCCAACGGGAGACTAGACACGGGGCGGGCCTTGTGATTATTGGACAATACCTCCACGAACCGCAGTCCGTTTGGCGGTACTTATCGACAGTCGCTGTTGGAGACACGTGATGGGCCCGATGGAACACTTTTACGAAGCTGAAACCTGTGCCAAGTTGCCTATCCGCCCGTCGGAACTCCAGCTTCGCGAGTCGTTTAATATGGCCATGCGCGTGTTTGGCCCGCAACTTCGGGGACACTACAAGTAGCGCAAATGTGACACGACTAGAGTGAAAGTAGAGATGGCATGTGGCATTCTGAACGAACTGAGCAGCACTCACGTCCTCCCTGCGTAGGTCGTGAATGCGGTCGACATTGTCCAGTTGACGTGTATAGTAGTAATCCATGCTGTACTGATCATTGTCCTTGAGTTTTGTCGATTCAGAGGCATACTCCCTGCGTACCACATCATGCAGTTCACGGCTGATGACCAACGTTGGTACTTTTATACTGATCTCTAACGTGACCTTTGGTGGGTTTCGGTTTAATTGGCTAAAATCCACATGCATTTCAGCCATACAAAACCTCGAAATCTTGACCATCCGGATAAGCATGGCGTGACAGAGAGCGCAACGTTTAGAATGGTGGAACGAAACGCGCACTCCAACTTGCTTGGCTTGATAGAGGTGGCAGGTCTCATTGCTCTGCCCATCGCAAGCCTCTTTATCACGGTTCTCCTTCTCCGAGTCGTTTTTAAGCCCAAGGATGACTTGGCCTCTCGAAAGTCGCCAAATTACGGCACGATTCACTCTCCCTTCTACCCGGCGGAGGATGACAGCATTTACGCTGGGCAAGTCGATGGCAACTACGTTGCGCCGTGGACCTCAACCTTTGACTTGGCGTTCCTTTTGAGCATGTTGCTATCGTTAGTGGCGCTGGTGGCCTGCACGAGCTTGCTTCAACCAGAGCTGTGGGTCAATTTGCATTTCTGGGTTGGTCTGGCCATTCAAGCTGCAAGCATGTTGCTTGTGTCCACACTTGGTGGTCTCGTCTGTCGCGCCTTTGGCATCGTCAACGACAAGGGATATCTCTTGACAACCATCAGTGCCACATTTAAGGTCAGTATCGCAATGGCAAGTCAACAGTTGCCGATTCGTTCTTATTAGGTCAACTACACTCGAAAATGCCAGCATTTCGCTGCATACATCCTGCCACTGCTCAACCCGTGGTCGTTCGTTGACGACGACAACGACATTGCCGCGCAGCAGCTTCCGTTGTTGTGGTCGTACTTTTCCATCTTGCTGAGCTTTCTGCTGCTTGTCAAGCCCCTCCGCGAACGCTTCGTGTGGTGTATGATCCAGTTCAACGGCCTCGATCGCCCCGACGACCGCCCCCACACGCTCAAGTGGCTCGTGGCCGGCAACCTCGTGCCGGGCTTCGTCGTCGTCGTTGTGCTCAACGCCCTCTTTGGCCGCCGCGACATCCTGCTGCTTGTCGTGGCCATCGCCATCATTGGGGACGGCTTGGCTGAACCCGTTGGTATGTTTGCCACAAGGTTGACTTGATTCCACTAAACGCACACTATTTTCCCGTGTCATTAGGCTTGAACTGGGGCCGACACAAATTCACAGTGTGTTGGTGTTCGGCTAGGCGGCGTTGCCGGTCTTGGGAAGGCTGTGCGACGGTGTACCTGTCCACGATGGTCCTCGTAGCGTGGGGGTACGTTTTCTGGCTTATGGTTGGTCTTATCGTTTGCATACATGCATGGCTAGTCGAGGGTCGTTTCACTCTATACATCAAGTGCTGGCGGCGATGCTGGTCATGCCGCCCGTGCTCATGTTGGCCGAAGCAGTGGTGCCACACACATTTGACACGCCCGTCCTGGTCTTAGTTACCGGGGGGGTGTTGGTTGGCATCCTTCAAGTGGTGGACTAAAAATATATCACCAAGACTAATACAGTACTACATCGTCGTATATTGATTTATTACTCGTGGTGTTGGTGGATACAGGGAGGGGCGGTGGTCGGATTCGCGTACGATTGCAAGCACGTCATGTGGTCGTCGCTAAACGGAATGGAAAACACACTTTGCACTTGGTTCAGGTCGAGCCACGGGTGAAGAAGCAGAGACTTTGCACTCGGCCGGTTACTCGCGACGGTGTTGAGGCACGTGGCCACAAACGACCGCGCGGTGGCGGACACGTGCTGGTGCGGCGGCAGCGTGTACTCGCCTGCTCGGATCTTGTCTTCCATCGCTGACATGAACTTGGCTTCGAAAGGAACGTGCCCCGTGAGCAGCACAAACACGCACACGCCAAGCGCCCAGATGTCCACCTTGGACGTGTACGGGACGTCCGTGTCGAACACTTCGGGGGCCATGAACGGTCCTGTGCCGCAAAGCCCGACCATGGGAGGATGGTTGGAGTCGTCGATGTGCGAAATGCCGAAATCCACGACTTTCAACCGGTCGGCCTCTTCGAGAAGCAAGTTCTCCGGCTTGAGGTCGCGGTGCGTGATGCCAAGGCTGTGCATTGCTGCGAGCACCTCCACAAGCTCGCGCACGAGTGTGCGTATCGTGTGTTCGTTGATGGATTTGCGAGCACATAATGCTGGTACCAGTTGGCCTCCGCCAACGTACGATGTCACGAGGGCCACGGTGGTGTCGTCCTGGTACACCGCCAGCAGCGTCAGCACTTGAGGTTGGGCTCGCAGCTGCGACAACGCACGCAGTTCGCACTCCAGGGCGTGGACTCGACTCGGCGTGCTCAAGTACGACGTTTGGATCACCTTCACAGCCACAATCGTCGTCGCGTCCTGCTTGGCGCGAGCGCGATACACTCGGCAGGTTTTGCCGGCGCCCACAACATTCAACAGCTCGTAGTCCACTTCCACGGAGCGATGGGTGATGGGAACAGTGTCGTCTTGTCTCCGCCGCCGACGACCGCAACACACGAGGTAATCGTATAGGCGATGCAGCATTTTGTGCGTCGATGAATTGTGCGACGTTGGGTGAGTAATGGGTTTTGGGGATTGCGTTTTGGGGCATACTGTATTGCTGCTTTCCGGTTGAACTGCCAATTGTGAGCCATTTAGACCATTGTGAAAATCGCCAACAAATAGTCGCGATGATATGATTGGTTAGAATTTCCAAGATTGGGCAGAAAATGGACATCATCCAAGTCAGTTTTTCAGGGACAGGACGACGAGGTGTAGTCGCATCGTGGGAGTCCAGTTGGTGTACTAGTACTTGAGATGTCTATGTGTACAATCGGTGTGTGTGCTGGGGATATGGAGAGGCTCGCATAGCATTATCGAAGCCTACGCGCTCAGGTGGTAAGATTACAATGCTGCGAGATGGGATCGTAGCAAACTGCGTCATAATAGGGTGATTATTATACCGTGTAACGTATTGTGAATTCCGGTGAAACTTGCAGTTTTGGGGTGGTTTGACCCCACGATGTAAAGTGCCAACAAATCGACCTTTTGATTCGTCAGAAAAAATATACACTTAACCAATCACAAACTATCTTCGACATTTGATTCCCGGAAAAGACAGCAGACCATGGCAGAGGCAGCAAAAAGGCAGCATGCACACGCCAACACCGTTTACCACTGCCTCTTCGTCTACTACAGCCTCGGCTTCTCGCGCAGACACCTTGCACTCGTTTTCAACAAGTCCGAACATACCATTGGCAACTGGGTCAAGGTCTACGAAAAACTGGCGGGTACGAAGGAGCGACCACCGCAGCCGACAAGAAGTTCATCACCCCACAGCGACAGTGGCTCTTCGAGTTCTACGACCGCCACCCAGTGGCATATCTCGATGAAGCTCAAAGTGCCTTCAAGCGTGTACACCGCATCATGTGTTCGCTGAGGGGTTGCCACCATGGATGTATCGTCGTTCGTGGCGAGCCACTTCTATCGGCAAAATTTGAATTGCACCTTCTCTCAAACACGTCATAGAACCTCTATATATTTATATATTATCATATTACAGAGGTTTGGATTGGTTCTGAAATCACCCTCCAGATTGATTGAACCAATCCAGCATGGAAAATTCGACTAGAACTCACAATAATACCGGTAGATTTGGACAGTGGCGGACCAATTATCCGGATACGGATAGTGTCCATTACCACATACATACAATAATCAAGTGTAATAATCCAACTATATAATTTTACAGAGGATTAAATAATTTTACAGAGGAGTCCAAATCTATATGGCTGTCTAAATCTATGTACGCTACACGGTAACGAATGTTTGTTTGGTGAGGGAATTTTGTCATTGGGGACATGTGGAAATTTTGAGTTCTGTAGATCAATTTTGGGACAAACTGACGATGCTGAAAAGTCACAAACTTGTGAAACCGTCAGTTTGAGTAAACGACCTATATTTATCATTCATCGTGATACTATATAATTATGACTACCATGCACAGCCCGACCGAAGGCAGCGGCGGGTGCCGACCACACAAAATAGCCATCACGAAAGGCAATGGCATGAGCTCCGATTCCTCCAACCTGCCGCCGATCCTGTCGGAAACGTCCAAACTTTTTGTCGCGTCAACCAAAGCCACGAAATACAAGGACAAACTGCATTGCCTCACGGCCCGCGACCGGCCCAAGCCAGAGTTGGTTATGCATCGCACCAAACCCGAGGTGTTCGCCCCATTCATGACCCAGAGCCTCAACCACGCCCAGCACGAACAGCTCAAGGAGGTGCTGCACGCGTTCGAGAACGACACGACTCACCACTGCCTACGGTGCGTGTCAACTATCGCACCGTCTTGGCAATGGTATTTGTAGGCCCGTGGATCGATTGTACTGGTATTTTGGGCTTTTGGGTCAGTTAGCTAGCCATGTTTCCCCCATTCAAGCACTACTGCGACAGGTACAGGGCCCCCCTCGCTATGTTATCGTCACGTCGTGCATGTAGGTTCACAACGTACTCTGTGACGCGGTCTACGACAGCTCCCATTTGCAACATCCCCAAGCCACCAGGGGAAAGGAATATGCCCACTTGGCTCACCAGGTCGAGTACGACCACATTGACGCCGACTTGGAGCAGCTCCAAGCGCAGTTGAAAGTCGAGGTACCTTGCTTATCAACGTCGTATCGAAACATCGTTTTTTCAAACACATTCTAGACATTGCACTACAGGACTCAATCGGACGAACGCGAGTCGCTCAAAGTAACACTGCCACTCTACGATGATGTCAAGGATCCGTTGCGTGTATCGACGACATGGTGTTGCCTTGTAGAAACTGCTGGAAAAGGCCAAAAAATCCCAAGACAAGATGGAGGTGGGATACGCAGTCATTGAGTTTCAATGGCGTAAACCAAAACACACATGTGTGCAGGAAGAATTGGCGCAGCATGCGGACGTGCTGCGACGAGACGAAGACTTGTACGAGCACTTGGTGGGGGACGAAGCGGCGCTGGACCGCAAGGCGTCACTGCATCGACTGCAGCTCGTGGAAGCCAAGTCGATGCTCGAATCTGTGGCCGACAAAGCCCTCGCCATGCGCGACGGGTTTCAGGACACGATGTGCATCTTGCACGACAAAGAGCGCGAGGAAAAGCGAGCCAACGAAGCGGCACAGACCCTCCAGGAGCTCCAGCGCGGTAACGTCAAAGAGATGACACCCCCCCCTAAACTTGGAGTAGAACATGCCAAACTTGTGGACGAGAGCGCGTCGCTGTCGCGCGACATCGAGCGACTCGAGGCGCAATTGGACGCCGACCAGAAAGTCGTGATGGACAAACGAGTATATAACCATGAAAGGATGGGCAACATAACAGAGTAGTGGTTTCGTTTGCGGTAGACGGAGCTGGAAGTGGCCGAAGCCGACTTTGCCGACATCACGGCAAACTCGGCCGACTTGCAGCGCACCCATACCCCGCGCCCCAAGTGGGAATGCGTGTTTAAAGGGTTGCCGGAAGTGGCGTATGTGGACCCGGCCCTTCAAGGCCCACCAAAAACCGCAGACAAGGTGAACAATGTTTTCCCTCTCAGGTTCACTGGACGGAAAGAAATTGCTGGTAGGTTCGGCACAAAAAGAGACCCCCGCTGGGGCGCACGCAAGTGTTTGTCAAGGAAATGTGTCACTGGCTGCAGCGGATCCAAGGCGACTGCGGCATGAGTCTGCAGTTGGCGAGGGTACCCATCCATCCATTCAATGTCAGAATCATTTGTCGGTTGACTTGGGGTGATGGTAGCTCACGAATGAAACGGAGGCGGCGCGACTGGAGCTGAGCACGCTACAAACTCAAATGGAGCTGCTCGCGCGGCGGCAGAAGAAGCAGATCTCTACGATTCCAGGCGGCATCGGCGGCCTTCCCAGCCTGGTGACGGTCGCCAAGACGGTGGCGGCGGCAACCAAGTTGCTCGGGGCGGCGACCGCGTTTCCGTCGGACTCGTCGCCGTTGTCGCCTTCGATGGCCCCCAAGGACTTTATCACTGCATTGGGCACGACCCCCGAGGTCCGTCGCCCCCAAATCTGGTGTTCATACGCCAACTTTCTGATGATATAAACACGTCGTAGATCCCACAGTTTCTTCGCCATACTGGCCGAGTGCGGAATCGACACATGACCAAGACGGAGCTGGAGGTGGGATCTCTTTCGTTAAACGTCGAAACTGTGTCAATTGACAGCGATATTGTCACTGAGGTGCTTCGCCTGGGACGTAGAAAATCCTTCGTATGGTGTGGAGTGGCAAGAAAGCCAAAGAGGCGCATATGGGCATCAAGATTCCTCTGGTAAAGAACAAAGGAGGCTAGATGATCATCCGAAACTTAGGACGAGTACTTGTACGAAGTGCTCAAGACCAAATTTGGCATTCAAACCATCGTTGCAGAATGGGGCTACAACATTCTCCACGGTACTACAGTAGGTAGTTACTCGCCTCCCATATACTCAAACCCAACCTAACTAGCCTTGAAAACGTACTCGTGGGACAGCGAAGTGGAATTGTTTTTCCTGTGCTTGACCGGGGCAGTGTCTGAAGCTATTCACGATGACCAAGAGCTCCTTTTGGACGAGTGTCGAAGTCTCTTGGTGCACCCTTCACTTCACACGACCATATAAAGTTCTCAACACGTTGTAGTTTCGGCTGAACGACAGCTACTACGACGCAGCGTTGAAGCGCGAGCCCAAGTGTGTTCACTTGGTGCGTGCCTTGGCGGATCTGGATACTGTACCCTCTATGGGGGTGTTGCAATGACATGACGATGGTTAGAACGACGTGATGGCAACGCTCCACAACTTTTTCCCAATGAAAACGCCCCTGCAACTGAAGAGTATCGAGCGCGAGTTGCTCCGAGAGACCAAATCCAAGGACAAGTCGGTACAAGGCACGGCGGGCGAAGCGCTCGTGGCCATCGATGACCTCCTGCCGACCAAACTTAAAAAGTCGAGTCGCGGGTACTTTGTCAAGATTCTGCGCACCCAGCACTTCAAGGAGATCCAAGACTACCTGGCGCTGCTGGATCGGTGCATTTCCCCCTTCTGCGATACTTTCAATGTTGTTGGGCGGTGCGTCTTACTTGTGGGGACACTAGGAAAATCCGCGAGACAGACCCTCATTCCAGCGGGCGCGTGGAAATCAAACAAATCAAAGCCGTTTGTGCCCACTCGACTACGATATGTATATAATAACGTGTACTGCTTCCTAGGCCATGCAATCCATTGACGTCGCTGTCACCGACATGTGGCTCGCGGAATGCATCTCTCGCGGGATTCCGAAGAGATTGGTCGGACACATGGACATGTCCAGCGTCGTGGAGTATCGAGTGTTCTTCAAGGTACCGCTGCTCGTTGACCCATGGAGGCTTTGGAAGTCATACATGTCGTCGATTCTGGCTAGAAAATGAACCTCAAACTCATGAAGCACAGCCTCAACTTCTTTCCCAAGGCGCAGCCAACGTCGTTTCACTCGGCACCGCCGACGGCAACATGACACGACCAGCCAATGGCCTTGCTTCGTTTGGAACGAGATTGAAAGACCACCAATCAAAACGCTTGGTTTTGAAAACTCGTATCCGGAATTGATGGCAAAACAAACATACACTTAACGCGCATATTCCATGTTGTTTTGTCAGTATTTGGTTTAACGGTAAGGTCCAATAACCGGATTTTGGGAGGGGGATATTCCTGTCGGCACAGTCAGTTTCGGGTAACACACGTAGCAGTCTGTCGTCATGCAGACGATGCAGGCGCTCTTGGCCGTGTCCAACACTAAACAATGGCCCGAGAGTATCGTGACCGACCCAGACATCTTGTCGCTCGACGTCAACGGCGAGTACGTGGTCTGCAAGATCTGCAGCGAGATGGACAAGGCCCGGGAAGGTTCTCGAATTGTGCGCATGAATGGACCGTATCGGACTGCGGCATGGGATCGTCACAAAGTGCGCAACATGGCACATCGAAAGCCCGGCGACCCACCACTTCCTCTCCTTCCGTCGTCTGGCATCAAGCGCCGAAAGAAAAGGGCTGACGGCACTGAAGCCGACGAGGACGCACCGATTGCCAAGTCGATCAGTCGCAAGAAGAAGCTCAAGACCGAACTCAACTCAACGTTAAGTGTCGACTTGGTCGGCACATGCCCCGGCGCCATTCCATTTGACAAGGCCACCCTTGTCCAGAGGCATCTCCGTGCGTTCCAAATGTTTTACATTCCATCGCCGGTGTTCTCAATTCACTACGACGACGTCAAGAAGTGGTTTCAGGTGCATTCTCGGTACTGCGCCAAGGAACTGGTCCTTAACCGACGCCCCGACCGTGGCCAGGCCTGCGAAGCATGCTATCAGCTGTTCACGGATCGGCAGCGGTTGATGTGGAAGCGCGTGACCAACACGGAGGGGCTTCTGGCGACGATCGAAGCGCTGCGGTCGACCAACCACTCGGACATTGACGCGAACGTGATCTCCAAGTTCCTACAGACCAAGTCGTCCTTGTACAACACACGCGGCCTCGCGCTTCGAAAAGCCGCCAAGTTGGCCGTCGAGTACATCATCGAGCGTCGCCGCCTGATCGAGGACATTGACTTGCTGGTGATTCCTCTGGCCCACAATTAACCAACGAATGTCTTGCGTCGCGCGATTGGATATAAAGATCGTAGTTGTGTATATAAATATAAAAGGTCGTCTATTCAAACACGTGACGAATCCACTGCGAGATTGCACTCACGTCTTTCATTTCGCTGGCGCTGAAGCCATGCACGTCTGGAGCGCGGAGGCGCTTGGCATTGATGTGGGTACCGCCACCCTCGCCACCGGCGGCATGGGTGGGTGAGAACAGCGCATATTGCGCAGGCGCAGGCGAGGTACCACCATGGAGGGTTGGCGCCGCAAAGTCGGCAGTGCTGTCTAGGGTGCGCTTGATGGCCATGAACTGGATTTCCAAGGGGAATTTCGTTGTGGGGGTGTCGTGATAACAATGCGATGGTAAAGTTGGACTTCGGTTGACGGTTACACAATTACGACGGTTTCACCGGCTTTCACCAATGGTGCCGTTTGACGACGCAACTTTAGCAGGGTCATGGTGCGGGAGCGAGAACGTGAACAGCGCGGTTGGGTGTGTCATCTATGCACCAAGATCAACCCAAGCGAGTCGTCATGCAGCTGCGCATGCTGCGGTCGGCCACGGGACTTCGCTGTGAAGAGCATCTCAGACAACAAGGTCTCGAAAGCGCTCATGTTGCACGGTGATTTGTCCACTGTCGCCCGTCCAGAACAAGTGCACAACATGGTGCGGGGTGGCATAAAGCCTGACATGACAAGCATGGTTTGTATCTGGCGAGAACGAGCTCTTCATAAGTCCTCGACTTCATTTTACGGTATTAGGACGGACTCACGGCGTTGCACTGCGCCGCCCTCCATGGCCAGGCAGCAATAGTCCGTGCACTTCTCCATGAAGGCGCAGACATTGAACTTCCCGCTCCGGTTCGACAGACGACGATGTCATCGAGTCAATCTCATCATGACATGGTAACTAGGACGGTCGCCATGCGCTCCACTTTGCTGCCGAGTCGGGACATGCCCAGACTGTTCAAGAGCTCCTGTCGTGGCGAGCCCACGTGGACGTCACATCGACCGTAACCCCCCAAGAAGGCTACCATTACAACTGCAAACGACTTAGCGTGATGTAGGGGGACGGCTGGACTCCCCTGCATGTGGCGTGCTCGAAAGGGCACGCGGCAGTCGTGGATGTTCTCTTGCGAGCCGGGGCCACTGCTACCTTGTGCACTGTTCATGTACGATAGATCCAAGCACTCGGTACAGACTTCTGATGCTTTGGCTTGCAGATGCATCAGACAGCGCTTCACGTGGCAGGTCAGCTGACTGTATGACGCCAATGGCAATGTGTTCATCGTAGCTTTGAAAAGTAGCCGAGCTGGGCTATGTCAAGTGTGTGGAAGTGCTGTTGCAGCACACAGACGTGGACTTGCTTCAATGCGTCGACCGGAGCGGCGCCACGGCCATCCAGTTGGCCCACTTTGCACATCAATCGATCGTGTACGAGCTCCTGTACCTTCACCAGAGTGACAGTGTTCTCCACGACCGCATGTTGGGCATGCTCTTGACGAGCACTGGGTGCACACCTCACCGGTAGCTAAATACACTTTAGTGTGCCATTAACGTTACAGCTAGCCTAACGCCGGCTTCACGGCTGAGACGACGTAGTCGTAACCGAATTCAAACGATCCGTCTTTCGTCACATCCTCTGCTTGCTTGTCTAGCGTCGCCAGGTACTTCTCCAAGCTGTCGGCAACCCCTTGGTCCAAAATGAGCGGCAATTTGTTGCGCCCCACCGCCACTTGTCGCTTGATCATCGACGCTGAGTACTTGTTGGGGAATGTCGTATGAGATTGCACTTGAAACCCGGCTTGGGCCGTCTGTCGCAAGATCCAGTCCACGGGGAACTCACGGTACGTGCGATGCCCGGCTAAGAGGATGCAGGCATCGCGCACGCGTTGCATCTCCAACACCAACTCTTCCTGTGCGGATTTGGGCTTGGACGGGTCCAGGCTCATGGTGATAGGCTGCAAGCCCACGATATATAGCCGTCCGCCGTCTGCTACGTGCCGAAAGAGCCGATGGAAGATTTGGTCCTGATAGTATGGCGCGTGGCCTTCAATCGCCCCAACGAGGTAGTCGGCGATCACAACGTCGAATACCTGGCCTTCGAGGAAGGAGGGATCGTTCCAGTTTCCTGCAAGGATGTTCATGTGAGGTTCTGGGAACTTCTTCCGCAACGACACCGCGCGGTTGGTGTCGCCCGTTACGGCCACGATGGCCTCAGTCGGCAGCGACTTTAGCCATTTCAACGAGTGGTCACCAGTGCCCGCATCCAGCACCCGTCCCCACGATGAGATGCAGTTGGGAGCATGGTGCTCTTCTTCCTTCACTTCAATCGACCGGAACAGTCGGTCTGTGGTGGTCATGCTTGATGGAGCGGAGCACGTGCCACGCGTGACGACCGTGGAATGGGCACCGCTGCAAACATAATTTGCCACCAAAGCCAGCCCCAGTTTGCATCGCATCAATGGCCCAAACATGTTTGCCCCACGCCCCAAATCTTCGACTGCCAACTTCGAAATGCACTTTCAGCCCCTCGTTTTCACTTGCGACAACCCCCGCAACGGTATAACTTTTCCATGGATAGCATGTTGGGACGACATACAAAGGAAAAGGATGTAAGCATCTCACGTTTTGGGACGATATACAAATACCAAGTATCCTTGAGACCAGACATCCGACATTCTCACTACCGAATTTAACAAGGCTTTGTCCCAACACTTAGTATTCGACGACACCAGCCGCAATTCACTCCTGTGTTGCATCAACAAATTCACAACGACAAGCGCGCTCGTCTCGGTGTGCTTCGATTAACACTTTAGTGCGTTGATTAATCGAGCAAAGAAGTCGCCTCGGTAGCCCAGGTTAAATGGCAGAGTTTGCCGTTGATATCCGTTGTTAGCTGAGAATAAAGGTCGAGACATGTCCGGATATGAAAAAGAAAAGGGCTGGGGCTCGACAGGGTATTTTGGGAAAGCAAAGAATTTAAAAGAACCCTGTTCGTATTAAAAAGAATCACATATGGGAATGAGTATGCACTTTTTTTGAATGCTCCAAAAGGAAACCTCAACCGTCGCCCCACAATGGCCGTCCCAACAACATCCATGGAAATGCTTGGCTATTGATAGCATCGTTATCCGGATGATCGGAGCGACTGGGGGGGGGTCCTCACTTTGCAAATCTTCTTGACATCCGCAACTCGATCGGCAACATGGAACAATTCAACATCTACCGCGCCAAGATCACCGCTCGCTTGGAGCGCTACGAGCAATTGAAGGAACTAGAAAAGCAAACGGGCGTGGACAAGTTCTTCATCGTCGCCATCCTCGCGGCGATTGCAGGTGTGTTGTTGTTTGTCGTCGGCGGCGCGCACTTGATCTCCAACTTGGTCGGATTTATCTACCCTGCGTACATGTCGTTCAAGGCGTTGAACACGGACACGGCCGGCGACGACACGCAATGGTTGACGTACTGGGTCGTGTACTCGGCGTTCAACTTGACGGAACAAATCACGGACACGTTGTTGTTCTGGGTGCCGATGTACTTTTTCATCAAGATTGCGTTCCTCGTGTGGTGCTACCACCCGTCCACGTTGGGCGCCACCACCATCTACGAAAGCCTGATCAAGCCCAACCTTGCTGGCCACGTGAACCAAATCGACGGCGTGTTGAAGCAAGCGTCGGATGCCGCCAAGAAGGCGTCGAACTTGGCCAAGGAAGCGACCAAGACGGCCGCCGGCAAATTGAACTAGGCTAGACGAGAAAGACACATTGCACCACCCTTGCCATTGTATTTACCAACCCTGCTGCTGGGTTTGTAACCGGGGTCTGACCCTGTAATATGAACCATGCCGCTCGCCTCTTTAACCATTCTTTAGTTCGTGAGTCGCAAAACCACAGGTTGATCCCAAATGTCAACTTGCATTTGAGGAAGAGTAGTAGTCTAGTAGTCTAGTCCTCCTTGTACTCGTCGCCCATGGTTTCTTCGATCGTGCCCTTGAACTCCAATCTACCCATCACCGCCGCAGTAACTCAGACCGTGCGTACTACCTACCATGAAGCAATATGTAGCGTGCGTACCTGATTTCGGTCACGTCGTCGCCTTGGAGGGAATCCTTGGTGAACTTGGCTTCTACACGCATTTGCACCTACACGGACGACAGAGTGGGCTCTTCTGTCAGACGACTCCAAGCGTACCATTTCGAGCGCCCCTCGAAGAACCCCACAAAGAATGTTGGAATACGACAGCACGCCGTGCGCATGGGGCGGCAATTCCACGAATTCTACCACAGACAATGGTTGACCCCACGTCGTCAACAGCATCCCCACATTTGCACGCACCTGACAACGGATTCTCGTACAAAATCAAGTGAAACACGTTCGCCGCGTCGGTTGGGACCACGTCCACGTTGATGCCAAAGAACATTTTGAACGCCACCTTGGCCACAACCTCCGTCGTGTCCTTGAAGTCCGCACATGCTGACACCCCAGACTTGGCCAAGAACTCGTCGATGAGACGAATACCAATGCCATACCCCATCACTTCCAACTGCGTGTTCACTTCCTTCAAGTCTTCGAAGTCTTTGATAAGCTAACACCATCACGCTTGTGGAAATGACCTTCCAAGAGTTGACGTACCTGCGTCACTAACGCACCATACGTGAGCGCAAAGAACTCGGCATTCTATCCAAACATCATTAGCCCTTCCTGCAAGTATGCTCGCTCGTGGGGGGATACTCACAACTTTCGGCATCTTGGCCCATGCTGCTTCCCCGATGCGGACGCGAGACATGCTTCCGCCAAATGAATCCGTTCGTCAAAATCATTATCCGGAATGATGTTCTATTATCCGGACAATCAACAATTCAAAATCCTAGCCTACTTCGCGCGGATTTCTTGCGCATGGCCCAGACGCGGACGGACCCATCGCCGCCTCCCGAGACGATGCTCTGCCCGTTTCCGCTCACATTCAGCGCCGTCACCGCGCTCTTATGCGAGTGGGGAATCGACACCGTGCACGCTTTGAGCGCATTCTTGTCTCCCTCGTTCAGCTGCCAAATGTACACCCCTCCGTCGTCCGATCCGGTCAGTGCGAACTCGCCGTCCGACACCATGCAGCTACACATGACATGATTGAGATGTGTTTGATGCAAGGATGTGCTCCACATGCGTTTTGTACGCACCCAGGGACGTCCTTAGGGGACGCTCGAAGGGTACTGACGGCCGCGCCATTCAATGCAAACGTGGCCGCGACATACGACGACGACATGCATGTAAACGTAGCTCCGGTCATTCCAAACCTCAAGGTTTGAATCGCAGTGTCACTGGCACGAACTTTGGAAATGATGTCGTTCGAGCGCAGGTCAAACACGTACACCGATCCTACGCTCAATTAGCACGTACACTTGCCCCCCAGACGAACAAGATACCATTTTCAGAGCCCACGAGGGCGATCGATCCGTCCGAGTTGACGTCCAGACAGGTGAGGGCACAGTCGCACCCTTCGTACACAAACGTCGGCGTCGACAGCATGCCCATAGGTCCATATTGCCACACCTACCAGTAATTTTCAGTCGCCTGGCGTCCACAAAGCACTTTGCACCTTGATCGTGCCATCCAACGAGCACGTGACGAATTTCGAGTCATCCACGACACACACCCCCGTCACCGCGGCCGCGTGCGCCAGGCTGAGCTTGCCCACACGACCAGTTTCCAGCGCAAACATGTACAAGTCTGCAGACCCGAAGAACGCGTACTTCTCGTCGGCAGACACGTCCAGACAGCGCACCGGCCCTGGAAGCCGCATCATCGTCATATGTATGCAGCCTGCCGCTACGAAACACGACGTACCCGCACAAGTGTAGCTTCGGCGCACGACGCCGTCGTCGCTGGACGAGATCTTGAACGTGCCGTCATCCGACGTGGTGAAGACTGTCTTCATGTCCTTGGACAAGCTCACGCATGTGATCGCTCTACGATGTCAACCCCGTTGGTCAGTAGTTGATGTCGTCTTATATCTGGTGTACTTGGAGTGCAAAAAGTGGGGCAGCGATTCGTCCCACATGGCGGCGGCCGTCGTGTAGTCAAATGTCCAGCCCCAGCTAGACCTTTCCATGCAGCGTCGGCGAAGGCTGGCTTTGAATCCGCTCACGTTTTTGGTGAGGCCGCTAAAGGTGCTGCTCAGCGTGGGCCGCTTGAACCCCCAGGACGACGACGACGACGATGATGATGCAACCAAGGGTTGCTCCACCCCTTCCGGAAGGTCTTCTTCGCTTGTCAGACGAGTGGAAACCGACGGCAAAACTGGAGGCGGGGTGGCCACGTCCATAGGGGCCAGCGACACGTCCATGCCGACCTGCGACCGCGCCGGATGCGGGCTCTGGAAGAGAAGCTTGGGCGTCTGGCCAAACTCTTGGATCTGGGCCTCAAATGAACACCGGTCGACGGGGTCGGTGACCGTCTCGAGGTTCACCGCGCCTTCGTACGATAGGTAGTAAAACACTACAACAAACACGTAAGAGAGAGATATGTTCGAAGAGGTGGTGGTGATGACAGGGTACAATTGTTGGCGGCCAGCGCCTCGGCGCCTTGCTGCTTGTAGCCAAAGATCAAATCGATCCACTCGTGCAGATGCTCGGACACGTAATCGCATTCCAGCGCTTCCCGATGCTTCTCGACAAAGTCATGGGCAGAGTCGGCCCACGGCGGCAAGTCCACGTCGCCCACCTACCAAGTGTCGATATATTCGAAATTGAAGTGATTGGGCTCTCAATGACCAAAAGAACCAAATATCAGCACACAATCGATATACGACCAATCAAAACCCAGATCAAAAATCAAGTAGCCAATCAAATCATCATCCACTCACATTCGACCACTTTCACCATCGAATTCGTGTGAAACATGACGATCTTGACATACAATAGTCAATACAAAGCATTTGATCGATGGATGTGGCGAATACAGCACCAAAGTAATTTATATTTAATTTGGGTACAAGAAAGATAATATATATATTGTCGATTTGGTACAAATTTGGGGAGGGGGTGCAATCGAATCGCGCCAACCAAACCGATCCACAATCGATATCTGATTGGTTGAATTTCATTGAGAAGGTTTTGATTGGTTAATATTTTTGAGCTCATCTGAAGTAGCCAATCAAATCGATTTAAATTCCAACGAGAAATCACAATGAAATTTCACTAAAAAGCACAATACATATATATATATATATTGGTTTGTCTACCCGGGCCAGGGTTTGCGTCGTGCCCAAGTCCAAATTGCGCGTGTTCTGAAGCCATTCGCAAACGTGGGGACTGTCCGTGTCGTAAAATGCAGGGATCAACTCTTTCAAGTCTGCGTGGTTGGTCAAGCAGCTTTGGTACGTGTCGGCAATGCTACCATTCCCATTAAAGAAAGAGATACATTTGAGACCCGCACCTTCGAAAGAGGCGGTCGGGGGCATCGAATTTGCCGTTTTGCAGGCACAGCATGTACTCTGGCGCCATGCGGACCAGGTAAAACAGTACGTAGCCAGGGGTCGAGTAGTGCGTGCCGTACAAAAAAGGCGGCGGCAGCCCCTCGGCCTCCATCCCACTCGGCATGTTGTGAAAGCGCTGCTGGAAGTACCCAAGCCGATCAGCGTTCAACGCGCCCACGGGTTTCGACAAGTCTCGAAACGTATGTGGGTCGGTGAGATCCAGTCGATCCGTCTTGTAGTCGGCTATCACCCACGGAAACACTGGGTACTACCAAACATAAACAAACAATATTTAGTGTGTGTAATCACTTGGCATAGTACAAATATATATATATATATATATCATTTGGCATGGGGTAAATATATATATATATATATATGTATC